ACACACACACACATGCACACACACACGCACATGGACACACACACGAATACACACACACACACACACACACACACACACACACTCACACACTCACCTTGCTGCTGCTCAGGGTTGGTGAAAGAGGAAAGGGATTGACTTTCATTGAATGAGCCTACAGGAGGAGAAAAAGACACAACTTTATATTAGAAATGACTGCCAAAAAATTCAAATGAATTCTTTTTCTATTGTTTCTATTTTCTTTGCTACTACAAATAGTTGATTTATCAACAACAAATAACAATTTAAATTTTTCCATTTTTTTTAATGTTTTATTAATTCTATCAAGCAAAAATGCCAAAAACTCACTGCTTCCAACTGCTTAAATGTGGTGATTTGCTGCCTTTTCTCTGTTTTATTTCATTGTTAATTTAATATATCTGGATTTTGTACTGTTAACTGTTACTGCTGTTCAAGATGTCACCTTCGCCTCTGACGAACTATGATACGCATGTTTCACTATTTCCTGACATCATACAGATTAAAGGATTAAATGAAAAACAATTGACAAATTAATCTACAATGAAAAAATCATCAGCTGTACAAATATCTATTTCTGGTGGATCAATCATGTAGGTGAAAGATGGTGGAAGATAAATGTAATATTCACAGGAGTCAGATGTACCTGGTGATTTGATTCAGGTCCATTCCGCTCTGAATCTGCGTGGGAGGGAAAGGAAAAAGTGAGAAATTGATCACATGTGAGAACACCAACACACAGACAACTGCGATACACTGTATTATATACTGTATGTACAGCATTTAATGTACAATACATATGTGTCTTGTATATTTGCTGCCAGTAACAGCAGCACATCTTACCCGCGCCCTCCAATGGTGAGTCAGCCCCTACTTTCTCCACCTCTACTGGCTTTGACATCCTGATATCTGTAAAAAGATGACACACAGATAAATAAACCAGCATCGGTTAATTCCAGAATCTGTGTCAGAGAAAAAGTGCACACAGAAGCAGAACAGTAGACGGAGCAGGTGATCAGAATCTGAATGACGAAGGGGGAAAGAAGATGGCCAGGCCGCTGATCTTAGATAGGTTTTCAGGTCACAGACTGGGCCTACACACTGTACAAACTAACAATGTGGCTGAATCATTCACAAGTTCAATCCAGCCCACATTCATTCATTGTTTCCAATCAGTGGTTTAACATAAGAGTAGGTTGCCCAAGGTGTTTGCTTGTTCTAAATTTAACACAAGGTGTTTACGTGGGAGCAACTCAGTCCTAAAAATGTCTCACGTTGTGTGTCATTCATTATAAGACCACATCACTTCCTGGTTGATAGGGTATTGGGACAGTCCCTATGCCAACAGCAGTGAATGAAGCAACACATGAAATTGTCTTTAATTCTATTTATCACAAAAGGAATTGGGCATTTTGGCAGCAGAGAGTGTAGGGAAGATGGAAAAGAGGATGATTTGAGGAGAGTATAGAGAGAATACATGTGTGCGTGTGGTTGTGTGCATGTTTATATACTATAGTGTGTGTATAGTTTTGTTTTGTTAATCACCCAATTGTATCATCTCACTACATGCCTTTTTATTTGTCTGAAACCACAAACTGTAAGACAACTTTTTGTTGTGTCCATTTGAAACCTTTTTTTCTCTCTCTCTCGTTCTCTTTCTCCCTGACAAACACACACACACATAGACACACACACAGAGCTACTTCCCTTTTGTGAAAACATGCAAATCTGCCCAACGACCAACTAATTATATCTGCCACCTGCATAATAAACTCTCAGTCTCCCTCCTCCTTTTTCTCTCTCCCCTTTCACCCCCTCCTCTCCCCTTCATCTCTCCACGCTTCATCCTGTTTTTTTTCTCATGTTGCACACGAGAGAGCACTGACACTATGGCAAATCATTTCATTTTCCCATCAGCTTATTGCTGTGTTTTTATCAATCTGACACACTAGATACAGAAAATACTCTTATTTGACTTTCTGCAATTCCAACAAGCAACTGGTCAAACATGGTTTTCACCATTGGGGGGCAGCAGCGACACATGGAGAAGAGGACAAACCTGCTCCACTGACCAACACTTACCTGATGACACTTTTAAATAACCAAACCATCAGTCCAGTGCAATCATTATGAAGGCAAAAATGTAAAGATAAAATGAACCACTCCCTGTTTGAAAGCACTTTCAGCGTCAGAAAACACATTTGTTTCAGTGAAACGTGAGAACAGTGGACTTTGGTACATGCAGAGTCTTTAGTGAAAGGGGGAAGTGGTGAGCAGCTAGAAAAGCTCCACTCTACCAACGCTAGTTATAACCTGGGGTCAGGGAACACACACACACTGACCGCAGGATTTCCCTCAAATAAATGGACTTCTGCAAAAAGCTAATTTGGTCTCCAACCGTGTGGATGCAAGCATATTAGGGTGAATTTGTGGTTATTCCAACATTACATTCTGCTCCTTTTGGTATTCTATGGCATGGCTAAAACTGTCCAAAGTTGCTCAATTTATGGTTACAAAAAAAACACTGAATCTGCACCAAATTGCAATGCCTTCCCCTCAAGATGCACTCATTTAAAACTTTTTAAAAGTTTATGCAAAACAGTATTAATAATATGTGAATTTAACTGAGCTGTCTTGTGCTCAAATCATCATGTGCAGTGTACAGTACCAAAGCCAAATCCACCATATAAAATGATTGGCCAGCTCATAAAACAGCTGTAATGTGAAGTTTCCAAAGTGCTGCCTCCTGTACTGTACTGCCTGCTCACGGGACACCCAGGGAAGCTGGGTATTGATTCATGGTTCAAAATGGCCTACAGACAGTAGCATGGTGGATAATGTGGTCAGTAATACAGTGGTGGGACAGTATATCAAGATGTTGTGTCTTTTTCTCACTTCCCCTCCCGACTTCCCCTTGTACCGGGTTGAACGCAGAGTGCTAAACCCAACACTTACTGTCAGCGAGGCTATTAATATTAGCCTGCTCTCTCTCACTTTTTCTCTCTCTCTTTCACTCTATCTTTTAAAGCCTCTCTCTCTTTTACAACACATTGCTGCACACCAAACACGCCAAACACACAACTAATTTTTACTTGACGCAGAGCAGTATTACATGTTATGAATGTTCCTATATAGATATATATTTCTTCACTTATCAGTGGTTCCTTATTCATCTTTGTATGAGGGAGAAAAAACCTAATTTACAGAAGTGTTAGGCAGTGCAAGCTTAAATTAGTATGTCTATTTCGTCCATCATTAAGCTGTTACCGTATATGCTAATCTTACAGCAAAGCTTAGGGTTTATCTTTGACCCAGTGAGACCAGAGAGCTACGCCATACTCACTGTATCTTAAACAGTCAAATTTAATGCTGTATAATCCTGTGTCATGAATAAATGATGCAACAGAAAGGAACAAGGAACAACAGTGTATGTGCTCAGTCTGGACTGTTTCTGTTATTCTCCTCTGGGTATTTTGGCTGAGATGAAACTCCGCTGCAACCATCCCGAACCCCCAATAACACCCCACCCCTCACCCCACTTCCTGATTCAGGACACAACCCCAGCGCCAACGGGGGTGTCTGGGAAGTGGAATCATCACAACTACTAACTACGGATTTCAAAAACCAAGCAGCGCTAAGGTGGTACCAATTTTGATTGCAAAGATTTCCATTTAAAAACTGCGCGTCAAAGAGTCGGCTATCCAGCTGAACAGCTTGAGCACATCTGCATGACGGAAAAAAAAATACGTTGCAGTCCAAATTTGAGAATGACAAGATAAAGAAGTAGATGAAAAATTAAGGAATAATGGTACTGCAGAGAAAAATCTCACAATAAAGTAAGAAGCTTAAAGAAAACTTGAGATGTCACAACAGCAGCAGAGTAACCATCAAGGCTGTGACATTTCATTATGGTCTGTGCGGCTGACATTGTTGGTTGTTATATCACTGTTGAGTTACTGTCTGTCTGTATCATCTACTTCACAAAAAATACAAATTACTTGTGCTAAATGCTAGAAAATATGAAAAATATAAGAAAATTCTGCTGGAATATAGACAGATATCACAGTGGCAGGCCTCTATCAGTGAGAATCTTTCTGACAGTTATTGCATTGATGCACTTATTCAGACAGTATGATTAATTAAAATTGGGGAAATGCCAATGTGTAGCCAAAGCCAATACGTAATATTTCTCATTTATTCACTTATAATTCTGGCATAAATTAGCAAAACTGGTGAATTGTTTAATCAATTAGTAGCATGTGAAAATAAATGTACATCATCATTTTTAACTAAGGAAATGAATTATTACATTCTTCTGAATTTTGTTTTGCATTAACCTGCTATAAACAATTACACTAATATGGACCTTTGATGTATTTGCATTCTGGTATATTCTAGTTTGTTGTAGTTTGGTGCTGTGAATGTGTCACTCTGGTCAAAGTAACTTACGGAAGGTCACAGCAGTGATCACCACAGGTTAAGATTTGACTCACTGATTCATAAACCATGAATCAGTCATTGATAAACAAAGATTGTCAAAGGAGATTATACTAAAAATCATATCTGCACACCAAAGAATTATGAGCTAATTGACATTTAAAAATAATTTCTGGTAATTGGTGAGTCAGCTAACAGCACGCCGTGCTTTTTTCTCTGAGACTTGTTGTCGGTCAACCGAGACTGTGTCTGCCACTTCACTCAGCTTGAGCTGACCACTAAAATAAGCACCCGGGGCAAGAAGAGTCACATTTTGTTCTGCTTTGTTTTCATATCAATTTTCAAATACTGAGAATGACAATTATTTTAGGCATTTCCCCTTTCCATCGTCTGTCTTTTTTAAAAACAAGTATCTTCGATTCTGAGTGCTTTTGAATTAATGGACAGATATTTAAATTTAAAAATGGGTACAGTAGTAATCAGTGCAACTTTCCCACACCTCCAACACAAACACACATAAAGAAAGTTAACACCAGTTTAAAAGTTGCACGGAAAGAAACCTTATCAGCTAAATGTCTACTAAACTGAACACAAATGAAGCACTGCCGCAGTGCTAAACAATAAAAAGAAAGGTATTTTATCATGACCAAAGAAAAATAACAACAATATAGAAAAATACAGGTGAGACACGCAAGCTGCAAGCTTTTTTCATTACCAGTACGTTTCAAAAGACATTTCAAAAACTTTTTTACTGTATTTTCTTCAAGCTTTTTTAGCATTGAGTATTCAGTATAAACACACACACACACAAACAGAAGCATGTTATGGGCTGGCGAGGTGTCTGACCTTTCCATCTGCTTGCGACAGGCGTCCACCCATCCATCCATCCATCCATCATCCCTCCATCCATCCACATCTTTCTCCTCGCACCACCTCTTGCTCTTTGATGTTCTCTAATTAGCTGAGCTTGTTAGACCCAGTGGCATTAATCAACAGTGTAGACACAGTTCTCTTTCTCTCTCTCTCTCTTTCTCTCTCTCACACTCTCTCTCTC